CTTTATCCCATATAACGTTTTCCTCCATTTCTCTTTTTTCCATGGCTTCAGTTATTGCCATGTTCCATGTTCTTCTCGGTCTTCCCCTGTATCTTCTTCGATTTGGTATCCACTCTCAAACTTTTTGTGGAATTCTATCCGATTTCAACCTTCTCATATGTCCATACCAGTTTAGTTGTTTCATTTCGATGGTCTCATTCAAGGTTGTTTGTAGTTTCATTTTATTTCTTATTTCATCATTTCTTATATTGTTTAACAGAGAAAGTTTACAACACCTACGCCAGGACATCATTTCTGTTGATTGAAGTTTGTCTTTCGAATATTTTGTTAGTGTCCAGACTTCTGCCCCATAGTGTATGGTACTCTCTATGAAGGAGCTATATATGCGTTTCTTTGTCTTCATTGAACTAATTGAGTTCCATAGCACTGGATTCAACTGGCTTGTAGCTATTTTTCTTCTTATATTTTTATTTTTCACATCCTGTTCGTCTCTACCTTCTGGTGTTAGTGTGACTTCCAAATACTTATATTGTGTATTACTTTTAATTATTCCTGTACCAGCCTCCAAATAATGGGACAAACCTCCCACCACCATATATTCAGTCTTTTGTACATTTATTTCCATTCCCCATTTTCCATACTCTTCTACTAATTTTCTACATATAAAATATAAGTATAATATAACATATAAGTTACATCATCTTCATCTTCAGTCATTAACACCTCGTCGTCTGCAAATAGTAGACTAAACAATGTTTCATCACCTATTTTTACTCCCATGCTTCTGCACTTTCTTTTCCATTCTTTTAGGGCTTTATCAATATCATATATATATATATATATATATATATATATATATATATATATATATATCTTAAACAGAGTTGGATTTATACAACACCCTTGCCGTAATCCTTTATTTACTGGAAAGTTGTCTGAAAGACATTTTCGCACTTTTACTTGACTTTTGTTATATTTATAAAGCTGTTTGACTATATTTATCTATGTTGTTGATATTCCTTTTTCTTCCATTGCCCCATACGTCTTTTACTGGTACATTATCATAAGCTTTTTTAAGATCAATGAAAATTATGTGAAGTTATCTTCCTCGCTCTCCCCGTTCCATCAGTTGTTTGAGACAGAAAATATTGTCAATACAGGATCTTCCTGATCTAAGACCACTTTGCTCTTCTGAGTCTGATGTTTGAATTTCAATTCTATTCTTTAGCACACGTCCATACAGTATAATCAAAGATGAAGTCACACTTATCCCTCTATAATTATTACAATATTTTACAGCATTTTTTTGTAAATTGAATTTATATAGACTAATTTCCATATTTCAGGTATTTTACCTCCAATTAAATTGAATATTTCAGTAATGAATTCCAAACCAACAATAGGATAATGTTTAACCAGCTCTATGGATATACCTCCAGACCCAGCTGCTTTATTATTTTTCATGTTTCTTATCACTTTTTTTACCTCTTCCAAAGTCACATCTGGTGTGATCGAATTTACGTGCAGTGGTTCATAATTTATTCCATGAAATTTAGTTATATTTTCTGTCAAAAGATTTTCATAGTATTTTTGCCTTTTTTCAATACCAATTGGGTCTACTAAATGTCATTCTTGGGTTGTATTCAATTTCATGGAATGTAACATTTTCCATGCCTCTCTGGATTTGATGTTACCAATGCACCTGTCTAATCTGTTACATTTTTGTTCCCAGAATACATTTTTTGCCTTCTTCTCTTGTTTCTTGACCAAATATTTCATTCTGTTATATTCACTTCTGTCTTCTAAATCCTTTGTTGAAAGCCATCTCAAATATAACTTTTTCTTTTCTTCAACCAGGTTCTTTATATCTTCTGTCCACCACAAGTCTTTTTGTTTATATTCACATTTTCCCTTCTCTCCCAAAGCTTCATGAGTGCTGCTTCATGAGTGCATTTTTCTAAAAATTGGTATTTGTCTTCAGTATTTCCTATTGGGGTGTACTTTAATTTTTATGCCATGCGCAATTTGTACAAAAATGCAACGGCTTGAAGGCTGCAATCTTGAAGGCTTTCAATATTGTATCTCGGCCACATCTGTCTCTCTATTTTCCCACCTTTTGTATTTGGTTTTGTCTTTCCGTAACTTTTGAAGTGAGGTTTATACTCAAGGTTAGCTTTTCCTTTTAATAAGTAGTGATCTGATCGACAGGAAGAACCTCTTTGAACCCGAACATCGCTCCACTTTATTGATGACTGTTGTGTAGTAATTATGTAGTCAATTATTGATTGCAGTTTTCTAGTGGGCTGGGTCCACGTCAATTTATTTATTTCTTTATGTGGAAAATGGCCATTCAATATTTTAAGATCATACAATTCACGTCACTATAAGTCTTTCTCCGTTGTCATTTAATACATTTTCATCATGTCGCCCCACAACATTATTCGCCATTCGTTTTCTAACTCTTGTATTAAAATCACCTAGAAGCACCACTTCTTTGCAATTTTCAATAGAATTCAGAAGCATAGTCAGTTTCTCTAAAAATGTATCTTTTTCTGCGTCTGTTGGAGCATAAATTCCCATAATAAAAACACTGCGTCCTCTTAGTACAAGATCGAGACATGCTATTCTCTCATCAATTTCTTCCGAGCTGCGAATATTTTTTCTCCAATCTTTTATGTACAGCTATGGACACTCCTGCTCTTGCTCGCTTTTCTTTTCCCACTCCACTAAAAAAGTGAACATAATTTCCTTTCCTTTCATTTCCATTTCCTTTTTTTTTTATTTTTTTTTTTTATTAACACTATGATATTCATGTTAAACTCCTCTATTGCATTAAAAACTTCATTTACTTTAGTGTTTAAACCTTGAACATTCCAGCATCCAAAACTCATAGACCTTTTTCCTTGCCTTTGTTGACGTCGTGAGTTAATCCGAGGCTCATTTCCATTGAGAGTTTGAGCGGCTTCTTATGTTTTCCGAGTATGGGGGTGCTGACCGTCTGCCTCAAGCCTTCGAGCTACTCAATCCACCTATTGGCTCCCGGGATTCAGTAATGGATTTTAGGTAAGAAGGATATCTTACAGTTACGGACAGCGGTCAGCCACTCCTTTCTAGGTGGGAGAAACCAGGCTAATTGCCGCATTCCCCACCCACCGGTAAGGGTATGCAGGGCGATGGGGTCGCTACATCCCTACGTCTGTATTCGACTATATCCTTTCCTAATAAACCTAATTAGTATTACCTTTCATCACATCCTTGGTTATTAAAAAGATTAAAACATATTCAGAGATATCTGAAGAGAGGAAACCTCCTTATGCAGACATGTAGGTGGCCGCCCACGTTCCATTGGTAGAGGAACACCGCTACCTTCTGAACTATAACATTCAGTGCATTCACGGAACTAACGATCAAATCAGTTGCCGTGCCCGGAAACACGAAATAATCAGCCAAAACTGTGAAAATGTGGGCGGCCGCGCTCCGGGGCTTTGGCCTGCCTCCCCTGCGGTGTATGTTCGCGCGAGCAGCTCTCGCGCCTCGCGGTGAGCGGCGGATGCCGCCCCTACCCCGGCGCGCCTTGACGGCGGGCGCCCACGCGCGGCGGAAGCCGTGGCCGAGGGGATCAAAGCGCTCGCACATCAACACGCGCCGCGCGCCGTCGCCCCGAGGGACAGCCGCCCGGAATTTAATGCGCGGAACCTTATCAAAACTTGCGCCGCTTCTGAAGGCCGGTGACTCTCTTAAGGCTCGGCTACGACGTGGGTACCGAACAACTTTTTTTACTTGTTTTCGTAATTTTCTTTATTGGATTTTCCTAGCTGCAGTGATGGAACATTTCAACAAATATATTGTCATATTATTCAGTTTAGCTCAAGCTTTTAGATCAACTTCGTGATTTTCTCTCAACTGAAACTAAATAGGCCTATATTCTCTAAACTCCTCTGCTTTTCCCCTCTTATTCCAATGCTGTTCAACTGACTGCAATTACTAAGTGGAAGCATCGACGTTGCCTCTGTACCACTGCTGAATGGGAGATCCTATTCCTAAGTTTCGAGCCCGACGGTGTGGGATTTTGGACACTTCTTAGTGATCGGTTACTTGTAAATTATGCTTTGATAGATGATACTTAAGTTTTGTGACATTTCACTTTACATATCAAAACAACTTCTACTATAAATATAATTAAAAAAATTACTGCGATGTAGATTCTGAGGGGTTACTTAATTTGACATTATACCGTGATGATACCATTTACTTTATACTGTTAAAAATGCAGATGATAATTTATTTGTGATGATTTTCTGAATATCGTAGTTCATCTAGTAACATGTGCTTTACAACATTAGACAATTTTCGAATGTAGTTTATTACAGTTATCATGGTTTATCAAAGAAACACCTACAATGTCAAGGAAATACTTTAAATATTCACATACCAATGGGGGAAAACAACGAGCCCCAGCAAAGGTTTCTTTTCCACATATTTTTGTTCAGATAAGAAATTACTCGGTGATGTGAATATAACATCGTATTTTCTTCAAGTCTGAAGTACGTGGTAAAAACATTCACTACGGAAGTCTACTACAAGACTGAAAATGTTGAAAATATCAATGCCATTGCCGTACCTCAAAACCTATGTATATTTTAAAACAAACTCGGAGAAAGTGATTGTGAAGTTTACACGTAGCATTAGCTCTGAAACGTGTAACATTACTCTTCAATTATATTGTAATTTATTCCGGAGTTAGTCGATGGCCCCTTTTCCGTCGATGTTCTCCGAATATTGGCATTGGTATGCAAAGTCTTCGTCATATTTTGTCATCGCTTATTGGTTCCTCAAAACCTCCTTGCCCACTCGGTCTCCATCTAGTTCTACTCTTGGAACCTACGACCCCCTCCCTCCTAGCTGTTCTGCCTTGGGCGAAACCAAGAGCACTCTAAGCGCACTCTCCATTTTGCTCGCTATGTGAGCAAGCGCGTGAGAGTATGCGCCTGTGCCCGCAGGGCTGCTGCTGCTAGCGGCGCTGGGGCGGCTGGGAGGCGCCGACGCCTGCGACATCTGCGGCCGCGAGTGCATGGGCTCCTGCGGAGACACGCGCACCTTCGTCACCTGCTGCTACAATTACCTGCGCAAGCGCGGCGTGGGGCCGGTGGGCACCGCCCCGCTGGGGCTGGCGCCGCTGGCGGCGGCCGCCTCCGACTACGCGGGGCCCGCTCCGCCACCGCCCGCCCTGCGGCCCCGCGCCGCCGCCTTCCACCTGCGGCCGCCCTCCCCGCCCGCCGCCGCCGCCGTCGCTCTTTACGACGATTGAAGCTCCCGCCGCCGCCGCTGCCGCCGCCGCCGCAGCGCAGCGGGCGACCCCTTTCCACTGTATTCATTATTATTGGGTGTCTTGTTGGTGTTGGCATCACAATAAAAAGTAGTCATGTAATTTGAGGATATTTTAAAAATAAACTTATTTTTCTTATGAATGCTCATTTCCTGTTCATGTAGCCAGGACTCAGCCGCTCGCATTCAGGGCCCATCCGAGAAGCGTTGAGCCTACACGCATGTCCACTATGATAGAAGAATGGGAAGAACTAGCCGATGTTCGAGTATCTAGCAGATGATAGCTATAATATTTCCCACACTTGTAAACGTAATAAAATTTAGCACCGCAAATAGCTTCTTCCAGTAATGCAACGCACCAAGCGTGTACTTCTCTTATGATTGAAAGTTTTTGTTCTAAGGATTGCTAATTAATAACAATAAATCCGAATGAGGTTTAGGCAAATCGAGGAACCATGATACTGTTCAAAGGACTGTTGAAATAGCATCTTTACCTGAGGCTTCAATAAAATATAGAACAATCATAAAACTTTAATTGTTGCAGTGATGCTTATTTTTCTTCCAACCTACCCCTATAATTCCTCAATTATATAAAAATAGCAAACCACAAATATTAATAACCAATTTAGGATGTTTATTGAACTATGTTATCAGACTCATAACAGAAAATGACATCGCTACATAATTTAAATACCCTAAAATGTATTACAAATTTAACAAAAATCAAAGTTACGTCTCAGTACATTTAAATATGGAAAACGTGTGAATGTAGCGTGTGGTCCTTCATAGAGAAGATCCCATAGGCATTAAATGGATTTCTTTTTCCATTCAAGTTCTTGTGATCTTTTTTATTACATTTGGTTACAATAGATTAGAGGATCATGTAAAAGTTTCTACATGTTCCCCCTATCTGCAGAACAGAATGACTACCCACCCTTTTCGACTATTCAACAAAATTGTTCAACGTGTCAAATACATTTTATTGATCATTCTTTGCATACACATCACATTAACAATGACATATGACCTGGAACGGAAAGGAACTTAAACATAGAATACGCACATAGAATCGACATATTCTACTCAAAGATCATCTCTAGGTAACCATTTATTTTTTGTTACTATGCACATTTTGTTACATGATACTATATATATATATATATATGTATGTATGTGTGTGTGTGTGTATGTGTGTGTGTGTGTGTGAGAGAGAGAGAGAGAGAGAGAGAGAGACAGGCAGACAAAGAGAGGGAGAGGGAATGTGCGTGCGTATGCGTGTCGCACGTAAACCCAAAAACGTCTCGACCGATTTCGCTGAAATTTTCACACTTTGTCATTATTAGAAGTGGGAGTACTCGAAGAGTGGTTTGAAATAAATTGAACATGTGAGGACGTTGTTGATTATGATAACTCAAGTGTCCCTGAACTCTATGCAGTCAAGGATGTGATAAGTCTGTTTTTACTGCTTAGAAGTATTCTGCCCCTGCAATTGTGAAATATCGGCCGGTATTATTACATGAATCTTGAACAAGTAAATAAATTTCTCCAAGACGGTGTCATAGCAAACGCATGCCCTAATTTGAGGGGGAACGTTTTCAAAATACGATACTTCCATGATCAGTCACAAATCAAGACATAGAACAATCGACGTCATAGGACGAGAACGTCTTTCATCTATTATAATTTTTGCACAGTATAGTGTAAAACGTGATTAACAATTATGTGACCAGTAGCGTGTGATGCGTAATATACTGCAATAACGAGGCATCACGGGGTCCACCAGTTGTAAAAAAACAAAGCATGTTTTGCCCCTCTCCCTAACTCCTTTCAGTTCCTAAATATATATTATCCACTTTCATTAGGTAAAGTCAAACATTATGCCATTATAATCAGTTTCGTAATAAAGTACTTTACCCTCTTAGTGTGGTAATGTACTGCATTACGACACTATGGTGCTAAAGTAATGGTGTAATTTGCCACTCTTCTTTTGAAAATATTTTGAACGTCTTTGTATTGAATCCTTCACTTTTACTGTTAAAACGCTAATAACTGAGTAAACTTACTAATCAATATTGTCATTAAATGATATTGAGACGGGTCAAAATACCTCAGTAATAGTTTGCTAATAAATAATTAAAATATGTCGGCGAAGTTTCAAATAGAAAAATAAATGAGTACGAGAAAATATGAGCAAAGGCGATACTTCGGAGATTTGGGAGTTAATAAATCTTTTTTGAGATTTATTTAAAATAAGAGAAAAAATGTTAAATAAGTAAATATTTTTACAAGAGACTTTGTTGACTAGACAAATGAACTCAGATGTGCAGTAGCAGAACCAAATAGAACAGCGACGAAATCGCCGGGAAACAGTGAAAACATGAGAAGCACAGAGCAAGATGAGTGGCTTGAAATGAACATTTGGCAGAACATTCTGTAATAAGACCCCGGAAGTTGGTGCATTTATTTAACTAAAACAGAAACGCAAAAGGTATTTATTTGTACTAAAATAGGAATAAAAAAAGGCTAAAGTAGGAGTCCAAAAAGGCATGTAAACAATGAAAAATCACGTTTGAAAGGAATTATTGTAAAAAAATAATAATTTAAATGATTCACATTTTTATTCTAACTCTCAACTTTACATTAGCGCTTAACGTGAAAACTATATTTTCCCTGTATTTTTGATTCAAAACGCCCATCCGGTATGATGCCTACGAATTTGTTTTACTCGCGACGATGTCTCTTCGAAATGGTACGGTGGACTCTTTTTTTTTAATCTTGAAATTGCATCAGAGAAAACGGAATTATATTTCTCGTTCTTCGCACTTGTGTAATCACCAGTACTGAGAAGAAGAATCTATCATATTAGGAGACCTGACCATAACAAGGATTGGAGGCCATACTCAAAAATAGGATGGGATTTCTCGTAAGAGAACAAAGATTGTCTGCAAAACGAAAAAATCACTGGTATTATCTTCCTTTTTCATTTAGATCTTTAACACAGCTTCTGCTTCCACAGAAAGACGGTGCCTTCGTGTTGCCCAAGCTTGCTTATAATATCCTCTTGATCCGGCTTGATCAAAACCGCTGCCAAACACACACACACACACACACACACAAAGTAAAAGATAAAAACAACACGAGATATATAAACTTTACGTAATACACCAAGTATCGTCGAGGAATCGAAAAGCACATCGATTATTTTACAAGAGTGAACGAGAATAACTGATGAAGAATACGCAATGAATATACTGATATCGAAACATCAAGTGTTAGCATTTAGAGGAATGACAAATGCGAAAACAGTATGGGAATTATTAAAACGGACACCCGAAGACGTAGAAAGACAACGGTTGACTCAATTAAAGATTGCCTTGGCGAAAGTAGCGGAAGTAGAGAAGTGATAGCGGATCGAAAAATATATAAAATGAATAACAAGAGTTTAATTGCGCGAAGAATTTAAAAAAATGTAATGTTTGGGTTGATCATGAATTTGGATGAAAAAAAGAGGGCAGATAATAATTACGTAAGCTTTAAGCTATGAGCATCCACCAAATCTCAGTTAGGTAAATTTATGAATTAATAATAATTATTGCATGTGAGTATTTGGCATTTTAGAATTGGATTAATCCGAATTTTGCCAGATGGTGATGTGCCCAGTCCTGGGTCCTGTTTTTATTTTTCTGTTCAACCTGTGGCATACACTGCAACGGGCTCTTCGCTACACTGAACGGCGGCTATCCGTGAAGCATAGAGCACTCGCAGTGTCTATGCCGCGAACTGATCTGCCAGCCGACCTTTCGTTTATTATGTGTAACAGTCTCTATAACAACACCATTACACCATATTTGAACAGTTCTGTATTTAACTTATCTCTTCCTGAAGCTTTCCTGTTTTTCATTGTTTTCAATTCCTCTTTCAATTCATGTATGTCAATCAAATCGACTGTCTCATCCTTTTCTTGGCAATCTCTTTTTTGTTCTTCATTTTTTCTTATTTTCCTGCACCAAAGTTCTCTGTAATGCCTTATCCATAAATCTTTGTTTATCATACCTATTTTTACTACATCTTTTTGTTCTTTATTTACATGTTTTAGGACTTTGTAAGCAATACTTTGTCTTCCGTGTATGTCATGTTCTACTTGGCTTATAAATTTATCCCCAGACTTTTGATGTGCTCTTCTCACGATTGTGTTAGCTGCATTTCTTTTTTCTTTATATGTTTTTCTTCATTCCTCATCTTTTTTTGGATCCATTGTAAATATACTTTCTGTTTATCCTTTACTGCTTGCGCTATTTCTTCATTTCAGATCCGTAGGCCCTTTCTACTTCTGATTTTATTTTTCTTCCCTAGGGCTTCCATTGCAGCTCTTTG